CGAACCCAGCCTGGGCATACTTGGGCAGCTTCTCCACGGAGACCAGTTGCTGCAAAGGGAAAACACTGAGATGAAAGCCCTGGTTTCAGCACCTTGCGACCTGCAGGGCACGTGGGAGATGTGAAAACATCCTGGGGAGCAGAGGGACAGCAGAGAAGCAGCCCTGTGTCAAGTGACCATGGAGTAGGTTAAGAAGAGATCAAACGAGAGCAGTTTGCTGATCCTGCAAGTCACAGGCACAGTTCCAGAACATCTCCCACAAGAGCAGCAGGAATCCAACACACTTGGCACCAAACAAGCGGCAACCAGGTGGGTCACCTACCTCTTCAGAGCCAAAGGGCTTCGGCTTGAGGGCGGGCACGTGCACCTCCTCGTAGCCCTTGCGCTGCCTGCGGAAGGAGCCGTCGGGCAGCTGGCATCGCTTGTTGGCCATGAAGTGACTGCCCTGAGCAAACACCAGATCCTCCAAGTCCAGCACCTGCCGAGGAGCCAACGCCTGCACAGAGCAGAGGGAGAGTCAGGCGAGGAAGGTGCAGGGAAAGAATGACCCTCTCCTCCCATTTTCGCCCTGGGACTCACAGCAAAGCAACTGCACCCACCTAGTCAATATTTATGTGATAAATCAGGGGCTCATCCTCAACACCTTCCCTTCCACCATCTTCCTGTGCATTCTACTTCAAATACTTCTAACATCTACTTGGGAGGCTTGTGCGAAGGAATAAGCGGTGGATGTGGAGAGTCTTACCTCTCCTCCTTGGTCCAGATCCATGGTTTCCAGGTCAGTATCCATCCGGGACTGCCGAACACGCTCCCGGCGAGAGCGTTCCTCCTGCACGAAGAGACAATGGGTCAGCCCCTCTCCCTAGTCCTCCTCTTCCTCCTGTGCCCTGGCTTAGCACCTCGCTAGTCCCCATGACTGCGGTGCCAGGCGTGAGGGTGGCTCTCGTGCCCAGGCGCTCACGTGCCACCACAGGGTGCCCTGCACAGTATCAGCACCGCCAGCCCCTCCCCAGAACTGGCCCTTCGTATCAACGCGACACGGAAACGCTGCTTCCAAAGGCCGGAGCGCTAGTGCGGCACCCCAACACTGCTGCTGAGCTCTGCTGTGAGGAGCAGCAGCCACCCCTGGTGACTACGAGCCGATGGGGGCGACTGCAGGGTCTTATTGCAGCGAGTCTCACACCGAGAAGGTTCAGAGGTGAAAAGCATTGTTACCAGAGCATAAACAGCAGCACAAAAGCCTGAAGCTTAAGCACGCTGGTGTTCTTCTAGAAAAGCAAACACCTGAACAACTTGGAAATAAAAAGGATAAATTTATTGCCCTATCAGATGCATCTCTGCAGTCACCCAAGCAACACTTCCTACGCTTCCCAGATCCTCGGTGAGTAAGCGGATTCTGCTCCCACAAACAGAAAACAACAGAACGGTGGCTCAGCCAGCAACAAGGAAGCCAGGATCCCTCTGCGCATCTTGCGAGGGTCCCGCTGCCCTTACCCGGATGAGATCTTCCTTCTCCGTCTCGTGCAGCTGGTACAGGAACTTGGACAGCTCGGGATCCGCTTCCATCTTCCCCATTATCCTCTCTTTCTCCGCCTCGCTCTGGGCACTGGCCAGCAACGTGCAGTACAGGACTGGCAAAAGGAAACCACGAGATGTGAGGTGGGCACAAGGCTGGAGGTAAAAGAGGGCGCAGAGGCGCGCCAAGCCCTGCCGATGGGCAGGGGCAAGGGAGACACCACTCACTCATCATGCGGTGCTGCCGCAGCACCTTAATGAAGTCAAAGGTGTTGAAGCCCAGGAGCAGGACAAGCTGGTTCTCACATTCCCGGTCGTCGCTGGCAGTCTGGGAAGAGATACGAGGAGCAACAAGTTATTGGTGGGTAACTTCTGCGTCGCAGAAAGAAGGGCCCTGAGCTGCAGTGCAGCTGCTCGTTCACCTTCAAGATCTCCAGCACTTCATCCGCCTTCTTCTGCGACACTATGGCATCGTCGTAGAAGCGGCTCAGCTGCCGCTGCAGCCAAAAGGCGTCGATGTCTCGGGGATGCAGATCCTTCTTCTTCGAACTCATCAGCTCACCCGATGCCACAAGCTTCAAAAGACAAAAAAAACCCCACTCCAAAATCATATTCCTCCGTGGGAAAGGCATTCACGCGCCCCTCGCGTGGCAGAATGGGTGTTTAGAGCCCACTCCTCCGGCACAGGGCAGAACAAAACCAGGAGCTCAGCTCTGCTGGTTGGACCCCGAGGCACCTACGTCAACCTTGGCCTCCATTGGAGGACGGCCTTCAAAGCTGCCTTCCAGCAGCGAGGAGCTCAACTCCACGCGGTGCCCAGCGGGATCCCTGCCCCTGCGCCCAGGCACGGCGGCGACGAGCGCGCCCTGCGTCCCCCGGGCACTCACGTTGGCCGAGAGGGTGCAACGGACCACGGCTTCGTCTCCTTCCATGTCGTCGTCGGAGGCCTCGTCGCGCACCTCGCCGTAAATGTCCTCATCGCCTTCCTGTCAAAACAGGCAGCCCGTGAGCGGCTTTCGAAGCGAGCAGCTTTTCCAGCGAAACGAGCAAGCGGGCACCCCGCTCCTGAGGACGCACAGCCCGCAACACCAGCAGGGCACCAAGGTCTCTGAGCCTATTTAGATAGGGCTCACCCTAAGGTCACTGCGCAGAAGCCTTCCTGCCTAGCGGCTTTGTGTCACACAATTAAATTCATTAAATTATTTGCGTTCCTGGGCTATTAGAAAAAGATCTTATGTGGGCTCCGAGTCTCTGTTTGCTCTCTCCTCCCAATCCTGGAGAGCAAACTACAAAAGGCTTCCAAGCTGCGCATCTGACTTCACGCCTTCCTCCCGCTGCCGCGAGTTCTCCCGGGAGATGGAAATACCACCGGCTGCTTGCTGCACCGCGCACTCGCAGAAAGCCTTGGGTGGGCGAGACAGAGCCTCGCGAAGGCTGGAAGCAGCATCTAAAATAACCCGGCCTCTCTTCCCCCGCACGCGGATCGCAGCCCGAGCCCGCGTCGGCTTCCCCAGGGGCTCCCCCGCTCTCACCTCCTCGTCCGACTCGAACTGCACGTTCACGCCGTACGTCTCATCAATATTGTCATCTGCGAGGGAGAGCGGTGTTAATTAACGAGGGAAAATCTGGCGACCATCTGCAAGATCCACACAGCCCGCCCCCGCGCACATGAATTTTGGAGAGAACAAGAGTCGGGGCTTGAAAAGCATCCAAAATTCCCTGGTTTTGCTGTGTGAAATTACGATTCCTGCAGCAAGGCTGCTTTTGGCAGCCCTTGCTGCGGCGCTGCTTCCCCCAGCGCCGTTCCGAGCGCCGCAGCCCGGCCGGTGCTGCCCGTACCCATGTTCTGGATCTCCTTGTCGCCCCCGTAATCCGTGATCTTCTTGCCCAGGTTCACGAGCACGTGGTAGCGGGTGTCGTCTGTCTGGCCCAGCAGCAGGTCGATCTCCTTGCGCCTCTCCTTATCGCGCAGCTTCTCGTTCTTCAGCACGGCCAGCACCTCGTCGGCGGCGCCGCACAGGATGTCCCGGGGCTGTGGAACAACGAGCGTCACCGCGCGGCGTCCCCTCCTCTGCCCGGGCCACCTTCCCTCCCGCACCTCACCGCGTTCGGGGAAAGTCTGCTTTAAAACACACGCGAGAAACTGGTGGTGCCATCGAAACGCCACACGTGACTGGGATGGCACCACACACGAGCGTGGTGACGTCCACAAGAAGCAGAGCCAGCACCGTGGGAGCGAGGCCACCTCGTGCAGAAGGCTGAGAATCCATCCCAGGGTGGATCCATCCCGCGGCGCCGTCCCCGTCCCTACCTGGTCCCCGAGGGCCGCCTGGATGAAGCTCAGCAGGACCTCGTAGGTCTCGCGGGTCTCCTTGGTTTTGGGCTTGTAGATGATTCCCACCATCTCGTCGATGCCCTCGGAGAGCAGCGTGTAGCCCTTCATCTTGTTGATGTCGTGCCGGTCCTCGTCGCGCTTCCTCCTCCTGCGAGGGGCACGGGGAGGAGCGGCCGCGTCGGCGGGGAGCGGGAACCGGGACGCGCCTCCCTCCCGGAGCAGCGGCCTCGCGGGGCCGCAGCGCACACCGGGGAGGCCGATGACCCCCCTAATTAACGAGCGCTAATCAGGGCGCACTCACTTGGCCCGCCTCTCCTCCTGCATCTGCGGCTTGGTCCTCTGCGCCTTGTCGCCCATGCGGGTGCCCTCGAGCTTCCCCACGAGGGACAGCACCTCGCCCGTGGGCTCATCGCGCCGCGTGCGGTCGATGAGCGAGCGGTCGGCTTGGAGCACGAGGTTGGAGTTCTGCGGGGCGGGGAGCGGCGTGAGGCGGCGGCGGTGCCACCGGAACCGGACCCGGTACCGGACCCGGTGGCGCCCGGGCCGCCGCTAGGGCCGCACTCACCGCCTTGTACTCGTACTGCAGGCTCCGCGCGGTCACGTCCGCCATGGCGCCGCCGGGCCCGCCGCGCACCGGAGCACGCGCCGCAGCTTCCGGGGCAAACGGAAACCGGCCGCCCTCTCCGCGCCGCCTTCCCGCTCAGGCGACCCGGAAGTGATGGCCGCCTCTCGCTCTGGGACTACATTTCCCAGCGGGCACCGCAGCACGGGGACTACGGCTCCCAAGATGCTCTGCGCGGCCTGCTGAGGGGAGGAGACACTCCCCCACTCCATCTTGATTGGCCGGAAGACCTCAAGGGGCGGGGCCAAGCCATAGGATAACCCGATCCCCCGCCTTGCCGCCAGGGGGCGTGGCGACCCGCCCGCCACACACTCCCATTGGCCAGTCGGTGCCGCGCGGGGGCGGGGTCCGAGGAACCGTTGCACGTTGCCGTTTGAAAGGTGCGCGCCGGTGGGCGGGGCCGCGGCGGCACCTGCCTCCCATTGGCCCGGCGCCGCGCAGGCCCCGCCTCCTCCTCGCCCCCCCGCCCCGCGTGTCCGCGCCGGTCGCAACGGTCCCAACGGTCGCGGCGGCGGCGGGGCGGGCGCGATGGCGGCGGGGGGGGGCGGCCCGCTGCGCTGGTACCAGATCCCGCTGTCGTCGGCGCGCGCGCCGCCGCGCACCGGCCTGTTCAGCCCGCGCTTCCAGGCGGGGCTGGAGCGCTACCAGCAGCTGCGCGCGCACAAGCAGCTCCGCGTGGGCCGCCCCTTCGCGCTGCCGCCGCCGGGGCTGCTGG